ACACGGAGGCTCGAGACAGATGGCCCCGTGCAGCATACTCAGATATTTTAAGTGTGTAGATTTGAGCCAGAAATAAATTGAGAGGTGTGACAGCTCCAGGGCAGGGGAGGGGAGTGGGAGAGAGAGAGAGAGAGAGAGAGAGAGAGAGAGAGAGAGAGAGAGAGAGAGAGGGGAGAGGAGGGAAAGAGAGGGGAATAGAGGGAAGGAGAGGGACGGCTGTGGCTGCCCATGGGAGGGTCCTGGAGAAGGGCTAACTGGCCAGCACTCAGCCCTTACTGCCACCTGCTCACAGATAGCACCTTCCTGTGCCCATCCCAGGGGCAGCAGAGAAGCCCATGCTGCGATGTGGCGGGAGGGAAGCTTTGCACAGGAGTCACTGGGGACACGTTCTGGCGGCCGGGATGGCAGGTGCTCCTAGTCCCCATGGTGTGCCAGGCCCTGTTCCTAGTCCCCATGGTGTGCTGGTCATAATCCCTTGGGGGCAGGTCCTGTCATTGTGCCCATTGTTCAGATAAAAAAACTGAGTCACCAAGGGCTGTGTGACTTGCTGATAAGGGTCAAGGGCACGTTCCTCACCCAATGCAGTGGATACCAGTGTCTCCTGTGGCAGAGCGTGAGCCACAGGTGCCCTTGAGGCGACCGAGCCCAGTGGCCTTCACACCTTCCCCCACAGAGTGGCCTGGGATGGTCACTGAAGCTGGGTCTGCAAGATGAGGGAGGGGCCGGGAGGTGCCGAGCCCACCCTGATCTCCACCTCAAGGGTCCTTGTGGGGTCCCACTCCAACAAAGACAGTCTCAGGACCTCACCTCCCACCAAGGAGTCTAAGCCTAGAGTGTTGAGGACCCGTTCCCACCTGTCAGTGAGGTGGCTGGGCCAGCGTCTGTCCTGTGCACAACCTCTGAGCACCCACCAGTCCCCATCTGTGCCCGGAGGTCAGGGCTCTGAGAAGCAGAGAGCCGTGCACACTCGTGAGGCAGCGGTGGGGATGGTGCGTGGCTGTGGCTGCCCATGGGAGGGTCCTGGAGCAGTGCGGGGACCCGGCAGCCCCAACCCTGGAAGGGCAGGAGAGGCCACCCAGCAGTAGAGAAGCCCAGACCAGCCGCGGGAGACAGGTGCGGTTTATTCTGTCTAGGACTCTCCTCCCGGAGCCCCAGTCCCGGCCCTGCCACACCACCCAGGCCCTCACCCTCGGAGCCCCTGTCCCAGCTGTTATCCTACAGAGGAGCAGGTGTCGTGTAGGAACCCTGTCCTCTCCAAAGGACACGTTGGAGCCCTAAGCCCCAGAACCTAGAGCGAGGGTCTTTCTCCATAGAGGTAACTGAGTTGAATGAGGTCACTGTGCTGGGCCCTGATCCAGCCACGGATGTCCCTGTGAAAGGGGAAATTTGGACCCAGAGACAGACGCACTCAAAGGAAGACATGGTGAGGATGCGCAGGAAGAAGGCCGCCATCTACGAGGCTCGGGGGCCACAGCAGCCAGAGGGGCCTGGGAGCACCTGTGGAGCCCTGTGGCATGTGGCCCTGCCTACCTTGGTCTCTGAACTCTGGCCTCCAGCACCTGCCTGAGACATGCATCTGGGTTGTTCTGGGCCCCGGTTTGGGGGCCCCCATGGCACTGCCTGGGAACCTGCTCCAGGGGGGCCGGGCACCACCGATCCGGCTGGAACCTGAGGGCTCCCTTTTGTCTGGCTTGATTTCTGCTGTCACTGCCGATGTATTCCTTGTTCTTTTCCACTGCCAAGTTTGGGGCCAGGGCCCCGGGGGTGGAGGCCTCTGAGGAGCTGAGCTGGCTGCAGCAGGGCTTCCCCTCTGCTGTCCCCTGGGCCCTAAGGGTGAGGCAGACACACCCACAGAAGTACAGCACAGCCGGCCAGTGGGATGTGCCCTGGCCTGGGACTGCTGAGGCTCACTCCAGGAGCCAGTGTCCCCAAGTGAGCGGCCTCCAGGTGTGGGTGGCTGCTGCCCCTGGACTACCAGGGCTCCTTCCTCTCCACCCCAGCATGTAGCTGACGCCCTGTCCCTCCTCTGCACGCCTCTCCCCAGAGCCGTGGCTGCCATGCAGCTCCCTTCCCAGGACTGGAGTGGTTGTTGGGACTTAGGAGCTGGGTCAGGCTGGGGTTATGAGGACTCTCAGCTGGGACCATGGGTGTTAGTGGGAAGGGTCCCCAGGCTCAGAGAAGTGACGGCAGCATGCTGCTCTATCCAACCAGCTGTGGTCCTCGGGGACGATGGTGACTCCCCTGGACTTCAGGGCCTCTGCCATGGCCTGAATGCTTGTGTTCCCCTAAGACCACCCTGCTGAGTTGGTGTTAAGCAGTAGAGCCTTGGGAAGTGACCAGTCCACAGGGTGGAGGTCCTGTAGATGGGAATGGCGTCTTTATAAGAGGCCCCAGGAGCCTGGCTGTCCTTCCAGCATGTGAAGACGTGGCGAGAGGCATTCATGAGGCTGGAGGAGCCCTTGCCAGATGCCACTGCTTTCGCCAGCTCCTGAGCTTGGACTTGCAGCCTGCAGGAACTGRGCAATAAACCCTGTGGCTCCTAAACTGTCCAGCCCAAGGTGTGTCATCATGGCAGCCTAAAGGGCCATAGTTACTGTCCCTCTGTAAAACGCGGACAGTCACATCAACCCTGCCAGTGCACCAGACGCTGGGCATCTTGTGTTGTGCTGTAAAGGCCGAGTCTTCTATTCAGGGAACCATGCAACCATGGTGCCTGGAGAGGCCAGAAAGCCTGAGCACTGTGAGGGGCCCCCTGGATGCTGTGACAAATGACCATACACCTGGGCTGAAAGCCACAGCAAGCATCCTYTCAGAGACCTGGGGCCCGAAGTCCACTATCAGCTTCCTCAGTCAAGATGGGGGAGTGGGCCAATGCTCCAGGGAGGGCCCAACCTTCCCTCCCAGCTCTGGGGGCTGCCTGCACTCTTTGGCTTGCTGCTGCTGTGGCTCGTGGCCCTCTCCTCCTCCAGTCCTCTGCCTCTCTCACCAGGTCCTAGTGACTGTGTGCAGGGYCGGCCCACCCAGTGAGCCAGCATGGCTTCCTCACATCAGGGTTTTAACCACACCTGCCGGGACCCTCGTTTCCTGCACGGCAGCCCCCTTATCCTCAGAGACAAGCTCCAAGAYCCAATAAAACAAACAAACAAACAAGAACAGAGGCTTAGAGAGGTTTCTGGAGCACTGCATGTCACCGGGGAGCCAAGACCGGGCCTCTGTCCTGCCCTCCTTCCCAGCCTCCCTGCAGATCACTGCCTGCACGGCAGCCCCCTTATCCTCAGAGACAAGTTCCAAGACCCAAGAGGATGCCTCAAACCTCAGGCAGGTGGCACCGAGCCCTGCATATACTATGGTTTTTCCTATACGTATAGATGATAAGGTTTAATTTATGAATTATGCACAGAAAGAGACTGGTAACCACGACTCGGCATAGAGCCACWGTGACAACGTACTGCGTAGGAATCCCAGCAGCGGGTCCTGCYTGCTAAGCGTCTTGCTGTACTGGGCTCACCCTTCTTCTAGAGAAGGTGTGAGACCCRCAAGGCCCATGGGAGAAGACGGAGGAAGGATGAGGGAGGTGTCAGGACCCAGGCTGGGGCTTCTGCTGACCTGCTGACAGAACATCAGAAGGGTGACATTTTGTCCTGGGTATCACAGAGCCGTGACATGCCAACTGACTGTGGAACTGAAGYGCAGTAGCTCTGCTGGGAACACGGGGAAGGCTGTAGGCTATCGCAGGCTGCAGGGATCAGGCCATTATTCAGCCTACCACAGGGACATGGCTCATTGTCATGTTTATGAGGCTGCCCTCTGTCCTTGCAAAGCAGTACCCAGTACAGACCTGTGAGCTAGAGAATCATTTCCCAGAGATGGTTAGTGCYGACTCTGAGGGGCACATTATCAGCTTCATTCACAAGGAGAGAGAACAGATCAGAGACACAGGAGCTGGCCTGAGATGGCACAGCTGGTGAGTGTGGACTGGTCTGCCCCTCTGGAGCTGGCGCCCCCATCCCAGCTCCTGTTGCCCAGGTGTGATGGCTGCGGTCCCTGACCCCAGGTGGCAGCCTTGCCTCTGCTCTTACTTAGAACCAGGCAGCAAGGGTCCTGCATCTTTTGGACACCTGTTCCCAGACAGTGTCCCTGGGGTGCTCCCAGAGGCTGATACAGGGTAGTGCCGCTTAGAGAAGCACAGTTTCGGGAAGCATCCTGTGGGAAGTGGCTCATCGAACCTGGAATGATGTGGAGGCCACTGTCCTGCCAGGAAGGGTCCCGTGATTTTTCCATGTGGGCAAGAAGCTATGGGCCACGCGAGCAGAACAGGTGTCCACAGTGCTCCTGCAGAGCCAGGGACCTCCATGTCCCCAGGCCCTCCTGGCCATGCTCCCTGACTCTGTGGTCAAGGCCAAGTCCATGCCTGGCCACACCAAGCCTGCGCGTCCTCGGCTCAGCTTCTGGAGGTGTGAGGAGCGAGCCTCCCCCTTGCTCAATGTCCCCTGCTTCTGGGAAGCTCCCCACTGTCTCTCCTGGGCCTTGGGCCCCTTTCTCCTGGACCTCTCATTTTTCTCCCTATTTTGATGATTTTCTTTTGCACCTGGGACATCCATTGTGAGGTCTTGGACTATTTTGGGAAAATGATCTATAAACTGGGGGAAGAARCCTTTCCTTTGGTTGGAATAAAGCCCTTGTGCTCAGTTCCTGGAGGAAYGAGGTGGACGTATGGCCGTAGTGTCCACACAAAGCTCCTCCCCAGGCTGGGTCACCAGTGAACAGCTAGTGCCACAGTTCCAAAGCGCGTCCCCTTCACAAAGCTTTCTCTTACTGCAGTRACACACAGTGGCTATTACTGTTGTTTAATACGAAACAACAACAAAACAAACAAACAAGAACAGAGGCTTAGAGAGGTTTCTGGAACGCTGCACGTCACCGAGCCAAGACCAGGCCTTGGTCCTGCCCTCCTGCCCAGCCTCCCTGCAGATCACTGCCTGCACCCCTGGGCCCCTTACCTGCCACGGCCGTAGCTTTCAGGGGCGTGGTACATGAAGACGTTCCCGCGGGCCCGCCTTGCCCAGAGCCTGGCCATGTCGATCGTGGGACAGGTGATGAAGTAGTCTCTGGGGCAAGGACAGAGAAGGGAGTCTGGTGACACACAGCTCCGTGGACGGCTGGGCYGGGCCAGGACTGGGACGCCTCAGCCCCCAAGCTCCCTGCCAGCCCTGCAGAGGACACCCCTCTCCAGCTCCCAGAACTCTCTGGTGGGAGAGCCAGGGATGGGATATCGCCTGCTGTGGTTCAGGGCAGACCATGAGCCCACCCTTGTGCATCCCCAGGTCAAGAAGCCCCCAGGATAAAGCTCCTGGACACCAGTCTCACTTCAAGATCTGGAAGCCTAGCACCCTGTAGTGAGGGCACAGTCAGTCCAGAGAGCAGGAGAGCAGGCCAGAGAGCAGCCGTGCGTTTTAGAAGAATAGAAGAAGATGGAGGTCTCCAAGACATGTCATATGATGCCAGCAGCCTGGAGGCAGCGGGCTTGTGAGAGGCTACTGCCTGAGTGTGGCCGGGGCAGAAGGCTGGCCTCAGCAGAGGTCAGACGGCAGCCGTCTCCTCCCGAAGCTGCCTGGGCCACACTGCCTTCCTGGGTCTCAGCCCTCACCCTAGGACACACGCTGTCCTTAAAGCCAGATGTAGGACTTGGAAGCAAGAACTTGGGTTTGCTGAGCTCTGGCCCTGACTCCTCCGACCACTCAGGCTGGGGAAGTCCTGACTCGAGCAGAGTCTCTTGGGGAAGGGACTGGACATCTGTGGGTTCTTAGGGTCCAGCCTAGGGTTGAGCCCCCAGACTAGCTGTTGGCTCTGGATTTAAAGCAGAGCTCCCGACTAGAGGACAAGCAGCCTCTCTGCTCCCAAGATCCAAGTGGTGGTAGGAAGTTCTGTTCCGAGCTAGTGACCCTCCAGGGGGATCCCAGGCCCTGGGTGGAGGCCGAGTGTGGCAGGGGGATGCTTCCCAGCAGAGTCGGGGTCCGAGGGCACCAGGGTAAGGGCCTGCCAGGCATGCGAGGCTGGCATGGAGTGGGTTCTCTGAAGCGTGGACCTTGGGCGTCCCACAGAGCTCCTGGGACAGGCCTGGCACTCTTTGCTCTCCAAGGGCTCAGAGTGGCCCAGGAGGAGCTGGGTTTCTCCTTACCGCACTGGTCAGTGTCCCCTGGCAGCGGGCCCTCCCTCCCCAGCACTGCCCTTCCTTGGGGCTGCTTGCCCCATGCCAGAGACTGGATGGAGGGACAGGGAACCAGGAGGCCCCATGCCCCCTGTTCCCTCCACCTCAGAGCAGCCGCGGGGCCACCCAGCCTGGGCATCCAGGTGGTCCTCCTGGGCCTGGCCTACCGGGTGGCGTTCTCCAGTGCCCGGGAGAAGGAGGYGTAGTCGTCGGCAGAGTGCTCCAGGGAGTAGTACCAGGTGGCAGCAGCCAGCACGCGGGCGTCCGAGTCCTCGCCGCCCAGGGAGTTCTGCAGCGCCTGGTAGAAGGCTGTTTTGCTGTTGGCCCGGCCTTGACGTTCCTCAAATTGCTTAAAATAAACAAATTAATAAAAGGCATGAGATTCCCCAGTTATATTCTGAAAGGCCCAAGTCACAGCCCCTCAAGCTTTGTTCTAGAATTTTCTCTCTGGGAAGCCATGAGACAGGGTGTGGAGCCAGACATTGGGGTCTGTGTCCCAGCTCTGCCTCCTCCTTCCTGGGGCCTTAAATGAGGGGCTGCACCCCTCTGTGCTCCCTTTCCTCATCTGAAAATGAGAGTTCCTTCTTCAGAGTTACCCGAAGGACCACAGAGACCAATCCACCCGCAGCAGGTCACACCCGCGTGTCCCTGGCTGAACTGGGCTGCCCTCAGCCAGCGGGTGCCTCACGGGGTCTGCTGTGAGGGCTGAGCTCAGTTCTCGGCGCCTGGCTCTCTGGGGAAGTGAACACGCTCATTCCTGCCAGCAGCATCCTCCTCGGGCCCACTGCTGCCTGGCTTGGGGAGTAGCCACAGGCATGTGGGCCATGTCCCCTGTCCCCAGGGCGCACATTCTGGTGCCAGAGGTGGCATAGCGAGGAATGCATCTCCATCGGGGAGCGAGCTCTGGAGGAACAGGGTAGGTCCTGAGGCCTACAGAAGCCTGCAGCCTGGGGCTGCTTTACACAGGATGCCAGGACAGCGGGCCAGCCAGGGGCACCCTTCCAGGTGGGAGCATCCGTCCCTCTGCCCCTGCCCTCCCTGACCTGGCTCTGCTGCTCTGTGCTGCGTGAGCCCGAGGCAGAGCATTTCCTTGCTCCTGGACTCAGGGTCCTGCAGACAATGGTCAGTGGAACGTGGGTGAGGTCCTGGGTGTGAGGCTCAGGCCCCCATGTTTACGTCTCTCTAGATCTTGTGTCCTGCTCATCACACAGACTCGAGGTCAGAATGGAGGAGCCTGTGTCAGCTGCTCCCTTGGGCCGGGGCCATTCTCCCTGGGGACGGGCTGACTGTGAGCCCGGCTGAGCCGGCAGCGCCTGGACCCAGCCATGGAAAACTGATCCAAAGCACAGCCGTTGGCGCTGCTCGCCGGCCTCAGAGGACAGCAGGGAGCCAAGGAGGGAGCCGCGTGGCAAGAGGGCTCCACTTAATTCTCTCTGTAACGGCTCATTTCTTGGAAAGAAGTCCCAGGCGAACATGAAAGCACTTTCGTGTGTGTTGACGCTGAAGTGTGAGCCCTGGAGCCTTCGCCATGTCAACMGCTTCCAGCTGCTACTGGCCACGGTCAGAGGCCAAGGTCCTGTGGAGGCTTCGCACAGGAACCCACAAGTGCACGCGCACACGCTCGCTCACAGACCCACAGTGACACTCCTGCCTGACTCACCCTTACCCTCACGGTGGGTGGGGCCTCTGAGAGTGTGGCTGGCCCTGTCCAGTCTGCGCGGTTCTCGATGCCCACCTGCCACCTATCACGCCTGCGGACGGTGTCGGGGATGGCTTTATACCATTCTCTCTTTTCTGACAGTTTGGAATATTTCACGCCTACTGTCCTCACCGCCTGCGCCAACATCCCACACRGGCTTCACTGAACTAGCGAGAGGACTGGGCCCCAGGCCGCCCGGTGTCCACACCCTTGTCCAGGCTGAGAGCACCCACAGCTCGTGCAGGGTGGCAGCCCAGGCAGCACTGCTGGGTGCACCCCAGCCCCACCCCACAACTTCCTCACCACCCTGGAACCCAGGACACTGGGGCCTCCCCACCCAGGGCTGGAAATCTACCCTGGGTCAGAGCAGTGAGAGAGAATTGAGTGTGAAATTGACATTAGGGGTCCCAGGCCAGCTGCCAGATACCTGGGACTGTTTACCTCTCTCTTTAAAATGGGTAGAGTGCTACTGAGCCAGCCTTGGGGTTTGGTTTTGTTTTGTTTTTTAAGGATTTAGTCACCTGCAAAGTGTCTGCGGGAACTCATGACTGTTTGCTCATGGGGTGGGCTAGGAGGAGCCAGGAGGTCTCAGGGCCTGGTCTGGAGCCAGCCACCCAGGTTTGAATCCATCTTTTATATTTCCCAGCTGTGTGACTTCGGGCAGCCACTTAACCTCTCTGATGCTCAGGTTCCTCACAGGCATACTGGAGTTAATTAAAATCTACTTTACAGGGTTGTCCTGGGAATTAGAAATGACAGGTTGAAGCACCCAGCTCAAAGCCTGGCCTATAACACTTAATAAAAGATCTCTCCTTATTAATCCTGGGCTTCCGTGACTTCAATTAGAAACCAAGGATGAACACAAGCCCCAAACCACTCCATCAAATGAGGAAAACAGGGAAAGACCCTCCGCGCGTCTGTCCTCCTGGAAGAAACGCCTTCCTTTTCCTTTTCCCCTCTCCGTTCCTTCGTGTGAGGGACGTGGAGTTTGGAAAGGCTGCAGGAAGCCACCAGGGCCTGGGTGTGCCTGGGACCCGCGGTGCCCGGGCCCAGCTACGAGCCAGAGCAGAGGCCAGGTGACAGTGGAGGTGGCTTGGCAGGGACGGGGCAGGGAYGGGGCAGAGCCTGGGCCCTCGCTGTCTGTGGGTGCTCTCTAGTGAGGAAGTCACCGGGCCACCTCAGATCCAGGCGCGTCTGACACCAGGACTGGAGCAGGAGTGGGGGCAGGAGGATCCCTCCGGAGCCTGAGGACCCAAGGACAATGGCTCTCAGCTGGGTCCCCAGCTGCTGACTGGCCCTGGGGAGGCACAGGCCACCTCCAGTTCCCGACACGAGGTGTCCAGGTGAGGCCGGGCACCAGCCCCCGAGCCCGTTCTGCTGACTGCTCTGGCCCCAGAGCCCCCCATGCGGCCAGAAGGGGACAGGGGAACAGCGAGGCCAACACCCTACCTGCCTGGCTGCAGAGGCCATGGGTCAGACAGCATCCTGCCTCCGCTCTGCCCTTGGATGGAGACCCTGTATGGTGGAATGTCACTGATGGGCCACACTCTGAAGCAACCTAAGGACAGCCAAGGACTAGAAGTGCCATACTGAGGGGCACAACTGACCTTGTGCTGGACCCTGATCATCCCATGACCACCTGGAAGGGTGGATGGGGAGATTGGCTCAGAGAGGGTAAGTGCTATATTCACTGCCACTCAGCTAAGTGAGACATTAAGATGAGGCCTTAACCCAGCTCTGCCTTGCCTTTGCCCTTGACCCCAACAAGCTGCTGCTGGGCCTGAGAATCTGCAGCTAAGATGGCCACATGATCCAAAGTACTGCAGGCAGTGTGAGTAGTGCCAATCTCCCCAGACACCAAACAGCCCTCTCACTCTGAGCCTTTGAATGTGTGGTTCCTTCTGCCTAAACACCCTTCCCTGGCTCAGCCTGGTATCAGCTATTGGACTGGACCCACCATGTGTAGGTTCAGTGTGTCCTCAGGTACCTGGAAATCCTGATCAGATGACATTCTCATTCAGCAGATGGTGGGGAGTGCTGATAAAGTTCATTTAAGCTCCCGGGCAATGCTACCCCAATGGCAAGTGCAAGGACATGCAGGGGTTGCTCTGGGGCCACCTTCTCCTGGAAGTAGGACATCATGGTGGACAGGGCAGGCCCTGGGTCCAGATGCATTCCACCCTTTTAGTTCTGGGGYCTTGAGAGCATCGCTTACCCATGCTGTAACTCAGTTTCCTGATCACACAGGTAGATGATGGAAATCCCCACTGCATAAATCATCTTCAGAGTCTAATGAATCTGCCCATAAAGCCTCAGTATGCTACGGGCACCTGGCCGTGCAGGGGATCACTAGCCTGTCCCCAGGTGAGGGGGGCCTCTGTGTGCTCTGGGACCCCTGCTAAATTCCCAGGCGTTGCCCTCGACAGCCCATTTGCCTCTGGAACGTCCACAGGCCGGACAGGGACTGAATCAGTGCCCGAGTTCAGCGTGGGCCAGGCACCCCTCAGACAGGACCAGGAGGGACGCCCAGAAGGACCGCCGTCCCTGTAGAGCCATCGCAGGCCGGGGCGGGAGGAGCTGGGACGTCAAGCCTCTGGAGTCGAGATCCCTGGGTTGGCTGCTGACACTGTCAAGTGCTAGCCCTGTGACCTTGGGAAGTCACTGATCTCTCTGGACCTTTGTTTCCTCCTCTGTAACAGGGGCACAATAGAGTTCCCTCTTCGTAAGATGCTCACGATGCCCAGTGGCGCGGTCCCAGCGGTCCCTGGAGCGCTGAGCCCCCTGGCTGCTGTCACTGTTGCTCTGGCAGCTTCTACCTGGTGTCCAGCCAGGTGGGAAAGGAAACCCGGGTCTAAAGGGCTGGTCCTGGTGGCTGTGGGCCCCTGCGGGCTGTGGGCACCACTAGACAGTGACGGCCCCACCCGGCCCCTGAAGCAGGGCAGAGCTTCCTTCGTGGGAGCCGCAGAAGCCCTCCCCACAGCGAGTGGCCTTCAGCAGCAGCAGGCTGGGGGCCCTAGGGGTCACTAAAGAGGGACCTCTCACAGAAATGGTGGAAACAGCTCAGCAGCCAGGCGGCTGCGGGAGGCTTCTCACTCCCAGGAGACTGAGATCGGAGTCCTCTGAAGGGGTTAGGGTCGCTCCCCGGGATGACCACGTGCACCAAGCCCCGGGGGGCTCCGGGATGTGAAGGGGCGTCTTTCAGCAGGACCCTCAGGCTCTTCTCTCCACTCTTGGCGTGGCCCGGGGMAGACCCGGTGTTAGTTTAATCAGGAGCCAGCAGGAGGGCACCGCGGCTGGCCCCACCAGGCACTGCCCGAGCTGTAATTAAGGCAGGATCTGCCAGACAGAGGCCCTGTTACGGGCCACCGAGTTAAGGGGCTATCAAGGACGGGCAGGTCCCTGCGTGTGGTTTGAAGGACAGCCATCAGCATGTCCTGTGGGAGGGTGGGGCCTCCGGGAAGGGCAGCTCGTCCTGTGGGGCGGGCAGTACTCAGTGCCCACACATCCACACTGCGACTGCTGGGGCGGGCAGTACTCGGTGCCCACACATCCATACTGTGACTGCTGGGGCGGGGAATACTCGGTGCCCACACATCCATACTGTGACTGCTGGGGCGGGGCAGTACCCAGTGCCCACACATCCACACTG